CCCTAAATGAGTGTCCTCATTTGGGCTCAACTAATATATTTTTATCTCCTTAAACGCAACATTTAAAGGGGTACGACTTTGAATTATTGATATTAATTTTTTCATGTTATTTCGGATTTTTAAATTTATATAAGTAGAAATTCTCTTATAGCTCAACATTTTTTATAGTGAAGGCAGAGTTTATAAAAAATCACAATCGGTTGCCTAATCTAAGTAATTTAACAAATTAAACGCAATAGCGAATAGTAATGGTCTTGATGAAAATAGAAATCACATGCACAACATTCGAAAGTTATACAATAAGCTGCGCAATAAAGTAAGTACGTATGTACAGTATAAAGAATTTTTGAAATGAGTGTTGCCAAGAGAAAGCCTAGAATTGATATCGTAGTTTTCCGAAATTTCATTTTCAGAAGCATATAAGAATTTGATATCGTCTGTTTCTAAAAGCGGAGCTTCCGCAACACTCAAATATATTGATATATATATATAGTTTAGATTATTTTTTAACTGCGTATCCTAGTACCTCTACCAATATGCTCCACCATTATTTTTTATTTCATAATCTTTATAATATAAAATTAAACGTGATTATTGGCCAACCAAATAAGTCAAGCATAATTTTTTTTTGTACATGGGATCTTTGCTAGGAAAATCACTCTTCGAGGTTTTCCAATCGGACTAATTATGCAAACTTAGATCGGAATATCAGTTCCAATTCACATTTAAATTATCTTATACTTCATTGATTCAATATTATCGAATCAATAAAGAATGATTAACATGTGAATAAAAATCGGTATTCTGGTCTAAGATTTTTGCATATTAGCTCGATCGGAAAATCTAGAAGGATGATTTTTCTAGCAAAGATCCCACATAATATAATATATGCGCAGTTTTAGTCAAAGTATAATGAATGACCTATGAATATTTAAATGTAATGGTTTCAATGAAATAGAAATGCATGCTTAACCATGTGCGCAAAAATGAACGAAAAGGATTTTATTACATTCTATATACTGTATAATGAGCAAATCTTCAGTATTTAGATGACAGTAATAAATATGTATATATAATTGAATCACTTTAACTGCAACCTTCATTAAGTGCATTTTTCATAATAATCAAAATTATGTTTTTTTTTAATGCATTTAATTTATAAATTAAATATCAATAATGCAACTTTAAAATTTTCTCTGACAATACCTATGTAATCTCCTGTTTCAATATCACGGGGATTATTATGGTTTCTATATATTTCATAGCAAAAAAAAAATATCAAAAATACATTTTTTTTTAAAAAAAAATACCATTCTATTCGTTCATGTAATAAATTAATTTATTTTTATATATTTTTTACTTTTTTATTATTATTATTATTATTATTATTATTATTATTGGTTATTTTTAATGATTTTTTAAAAATAAAAAATTAGATGCGAAATGCGAAACTGTTACGGTCTAAGCCATAGCTAGCCAAAACTTAAGCCATAACGCATTGTACGTATATAGTACGTATACGTAGATGTTAATTCATAATATATATATCATTTATAGTAATTTACAAAAAAGATTATAAATGCTACATAACATAAAAACAATGTTTAGTATATATATATATATATATGCTATATAATAAAATTATTTGTCTTTGTTAACGTTAAATGTTATTGAATTATTTGAATAAAGAATTTATACTGTATGATATTCCCAATATTAATTCAGACCAAGTTTAAATCAGGCCAATGTAAACTTTAAATTAGGCCAACATTAACTGTCGGGGAAATACAGTATTCAAATAGACTTTTAATTCTTTTAAACGATTAAAAAGAAAAGATTCTAGAATTCTACAAATGAAAATAAACCAAAAATGCAAATTATTAAATGATGCATAACACTCTTGCATTACAAAGATAATTTGCCCAATAAAGAATGGACAAAACGTGTTTTCATCTTTATCAAAATAATATCGCTAACGCTAAACTAAAATAGGTAAATTAAAAAAAAACACGTAGTGTAATAACGATAATTATCATTAGATTTCACCTTTTTTAGTTGTTATTTAGCCATCCGAACAATTATTGATTGAAAATCTCAGAGACTAAATTTAAAGAACAAAATAATTATTATTAAAAATATATGAAGTTATAACGTATACGTACGTATAACAGACTGATCAATAATTATATTGGTAAATAAGATTGCACGATACGTAACAATGAATTTTTTCATTTCATAAAAAAATAAAAAAATGAAACATGAAGAACTCCTTTTTCAAATGCTGTTAATAGAGGTCTAAGACTCTGCGGAACAACTACATAAAGGTAGGGGAATTAAACGTTTTACAATTAAAAATCCGATACAAGCCCGTGATATTTTATTAAAAGTATATAGCATTTATTATCTTATTGCATAATCTTTAAAACCACATTTGGTAATCATTTTATTACACTAATTACTACGTACACTAATTACTACACTATATAATTACTTTAATAAAGCATAATATAAAAAAAAAAAGTAAAATTGTACGTAGAGAGTACACACAACTATAAACGTCAAACAATTCAATTAACAAAAGTAAATTTCAAATGTTTCGTGATAAATTGAAGCTGCAACTTCACGATTAAAGAGCATCGGGTAATGAGAAGAATAATTGAGAAATTGATTAGCCTTGAACATTTGCGGTAATTTTTACGGTAATTTTCTACGATAGGTATAACGTAGATAGTATAGTACAAGTTAAAAGTTTCTGAGGTTAAAGAATATGTCCTAATGTATTCAATGTATTCAATGTATTCAATGTATTCATTATTTGGTTGTAAAAGTGAACTTAATTTGAAACAGGAGAGTTTATGCTGTGTTCTCGTTTTCAATTTTTTCTACGTATTAATTTTTTCACAATATTATTTTACATAAACTTTAACACCTAATTTAATACTATTTGTCATGATGTTAGCATTTACGGTATGTAATAATAATTTGTTCTATTTTGCCAAGGTTATAATATATCTACTTTTTCAATCATTTGCAATTGTTCAACCATTCTTAGCAACGAAAAAAATTTTGTAACATTAAATGGACACAGAAATTTTTTGAATTAAAAATGTATAAAAGCAGAACGAATTAGCCTTAGGGTATAATCATTCCTCTCAAATAAGCTTTAAGAAAAATTTAAACCCAAAAAAAAATAGTCCTATTTCTGTCGCCGGACGACATTTTTTTATCAAATTTGTCCTAAAACAATTCCCTAAACGATCTTTCAAAAAGAAATTCAAATTTTCGTTCTTTTTTACAAACTTTATTACGACTTTCAAAGTATAAATCATGCATTTCCTCAAACTTTTCGTATTTGTAGCTCTCTTTGCTGTAGTATTCGTAACAGCCGCACCTGTTATCGACAAACGAGCTGTGGCAACAACAACAGCAGAAGCAACACCAGCAGTAGCAGCGAAAGGCAATAAAAATAAAGGAAAAGCTGTAAATGCTGCATCGAATAATAATGGTACTGCTACCACAACTGCAGCAGGAGCGACTTCTACAGATGCTTCGCAAGTAGCCGCACAAAGCGATAACACTAACACTACCACTACTGATCAATCAGTAGCTGCTAATGATACTTCTAATACTCCTGGTACACCTCAATGTAACACTGAGCAGGTTCTTGACGATAATGCGCCAGCTACAAGCATTAACGGAAATGTTTGCGATTATGGGAATGCCACATCTAGTCAAGTTGGTACTAAACTTTAATCTCATAATCTCATAATCCCAATTTCTTTTCTTTTTTTTTTTCTTAATGGGTATTTTAATGTTATTGATATTTTGGGAAAAGGTTCTTTTTGGTATTTACGACATATTTTGATAAAAAAAAAAAAATAAATAAAAAAAAAAAATAATGTAAATATGTGCTCATTGCTTTGCTGTTGCATTCAATGTGTACTTTATTATTTCCTTGAGGGGTGTCAAAATGTAGTTTTCTTTAAATATATTTATTTCAAATATTTGTAAAAATGAATAACAAAAAATGAGAGCCTTGTTTTTTTTTTTTATTTAACGTTTTATATAACGGTTAAGAAAAAATAAAATATGTTCTTTGGGTTTTTTTCTAAAAATAATAATTGAAATTTTGAAATTGCTTTTTTTTTATTGACTTACGTAACTTTGATAGTTTCTAACTTTTTAGCAAGATTGAGAATCAGCTCAAAAGTTGTGAATGAATTTTGATTAAAAATTAGTTAATACAGTTAATACAGTTAATACAGTTAATACAGTTAATACACAGTGACTCTTGATACGTATAGAACGTACGTATACGTAACAGACTCTCGATATATATCAAGTTCTTCAGAGTATGTACGTAATATCGATATTACACATTTGATCGTGTGATAAACATGATTACTCGGTCTATCAAATACTGAAATATTTAAACTATTAATAATGATGATAAATTAAATCATGATCGCTAAACAATCTATTAACGTTAACGTTAAAATTAGTTAATCAATAGCCCAACTATATAAGATTATTTAGTTATTTAGCGTTATACGTATACGTAGTATATATATATATATATATATATATATTATTTAATCGATTATTTAGGTCGATTGTTCAATATACTATACGTACAAAGTTGCCAACTTCTCAAATTAATAAATATTTATTACCTATAATTATCCATAAAAAAAAAACAAGATACTAAATTTAGAAAAAAAGAAGAGCTGGGCTAAGAGAACCGCTCGTGAAGATGAAACTGAACACTTTATAAAGAAATACTGAAAGACTAATGAAAATTTTGATTGATAATACTGTAATAGGGTTACTATAATATAATTAGATACAATGGACGATATAAATTTAAATCAGGGTTAAAATGACATACGGTGGCCATTTACTCGCCACTGCCTATTGTACAGTA